TACCATACCATACATTGCCATACCATACCATACATTACCATACCATACCATACCATACATTACCATACCATACCATACATTACCATACCATACCATACATTACCATACTATGCCATACCATACATTACCATATCATACCATATCATACTGTACATTACCATACATACCATACCATACAATACATTACCTTACCATACCATACATTACCATACCATATCATACCGTACATTACCATACCATACCATACCATACATTACCATACCATATCATACCATACTATACATTACCATACCATATCATGCTGTACATTACCATACCATACATTACCGTACCATATCATACTGTACATTACCATACCATACCATATCATACTGTACATTACCATACCATATCATACTGTACATTACCATACCATACCATATCATACTGTACATTACCATCCCATACCATACCATACCATACATTACCCATACCATACCATATCATACCATACCATACTAGTGCTGGGTGATATGACCAAAATTTTATATCACGGTATTTTCAACATTTACACCGGTTTCATGGTATATCACGGTGTTTTTCTTTTCATCACAGGTCAGCTGATAATAAAATGTACAAACACTGCTTATTAACTTTTTTCTTTTACTGTATCTCTGTCTGTGTCTCTGTTTCCCTCCTCTAAACATCTTTTCTTCTCCTCCTCCTGGTTGGAGACAGTAGTCACGCATTTTGGTCCGGTCGTGAAGGAGGAGGGTTAAGAAAAGATTATTATCGGGTCTATTGTTTTATGTTATTTAATAAAGATTAACAGCACGACTCACCTTGCACACCAGTCAACTCAATTCCACTACAAAACTACTTCCCCCCGGCTTTTCACAATAGAACCACGCTAAAGTCTCCATGCATCTCCACGTCTCCTTATTAAAGTCGCGTCTTAAATCTAACTGTGCACATCCCTGAAGAGGTGTTTACTACATTCAGCGATGGCGAAAACGGGATGTTTTTTTAACGTCAGTCAATATAAGCAGTGGAATCGCCACCCACCGCTTCAACAAACTGCTCAACAATAACATTAGCATGCTAACGCACATAGCGGTGCTGCGAAGAAAAGTGACCCCCGGGAAAGAGATCACTGGCGGCCGCAGCAAAATGTTCCGCATATGTTCAGGCTATTTAAACCGTTATGTCCGGTATTCTGAAAATTCATATCATAACAAAAATAAAAAATGGTATACGGTACAAAACGGTATACTGCCCAGCACTATACTATACCATTACCATTACATACCATGCCATACATACCCTTACCATACCAAACCATTACCTTACCATACCCATTACCTTACCATACCATTGCCATACCTTACCATACCAAACCATTACCTTACCATACCCATTACCTTACCATACCATTGCCATACCTTACCATACCAAACCATTACCTTACCATACCATACCCATTACCTTACCATACCATTGCCATACCCTTACCATACCAAACCATTACCTTACCATNCCATACCATATCCATACCCTTACCATACCAAACCATTACCTTACCATACCATTGCCATACCCTTACCATACCAAACCATTACCTTACCATACCATTGCCATACCTTACCATACCATACCATACCTTAACATTACCATTACCAATACCAAAACACAACACAACACCCAATACCATAGCATTTAACATTTAACACATAACATTTAACACACAACATTTAACACACAACATTTAACACACAACATTTAACACACAACATTTAACACACAACATTGGAAACACAACATTTAAAACACAACATTTAACACGCAACATTTAACACGCATAACATTTAACACATAACATTTAACACGCAGAACATTTAACACACATTTAAAACAACATGTAACATGCAACATTTAACACGCATAACATTTAACATTTAAAGCACAACATTTAACGCTTAACATTTAAAGCACAACATTTAACACACATAACATTTAACACGCGTAACATTTAACACGCATAATTTTCAAACACGATACAAAGCCCAGTCTTTTTCCATTACACCTCCAATTGATTTAATTCAGTATGAAAACTTGACAAGCATTCAATTCACAGCTTTTATTAGCTGCTGTCAGATAGCTGCAGTTGGTTTTGATAAATTGCTTTTGTATTTATTTCGAAAAATAAAATAACTGTCACTCAGGATGTGTAAAATAACTAAATCAATAAACCTCATAGAAACTCGAAGGTAAACTTTTTTCACAAACTTTTTTTGTACAAACAAGGCACTTTTAAAAAATGAAAACTGAAAATACCCTGTGACGTTCATAATTTTCTTTGTACTTGGTACTAAATTGTAATGTGATACATCAAATGTAGTCACAATGTGTTTATGTTTCTGTCAGATTTGCGTCTACTGGGAAACTCATGGGTCACCAAGGTCCAGTGATGTGTCTGACTGTGGATCAGTCTGGAAACAACCAAGACTTGGTGATCACTGGGTCCAAGGACCATTACATCAAGGTGTGTTTTCCTCTGCTTCCTGATGTAACGGCTCTTTATACTGACCTACTGTCATTCATAAAGTATAAAAGCTTTGTGACACAGAAATTCTTTGTTAAATAGAAACATTCAGGGATACAATGTGACCTTTTCAGTGATTCAGCTGCCTAATTTCGGATTATGTTTTTCTAGTCGAACGTTATAAATGCTCTGTGATTTTTATACTCTGTCTGAATAAATAAATATTAAGTTTTTCATCTCTAATGGTTGATATTTTGCTGTTGCAGCTGTTTGATGTGTCTGAAGGCTCTTTGGGGAGCATCAGCCCAACGCACAACTTTGAGCCCCCGCATTACGATGGCATCGAATCACTGGTGGTCCAGGGGGACATTTTTTTCAGTGGTTCTCGAGACAACGGGATCAAGAAATGGGACCTGGACCGCAAAGATCTGCTGCAGGTAGTCCGTTAAAATTTGTGCAAAAGGCTTGGACTTTTCAGTTTTGACACAACTTCGATTTATTGTCTCGCGATCCGTTTGCCCCCTGGTATCGCCTAACAAAACATGACCAACACAAAACACTTTAAACTTTCTGTTATTCTATTGAGGTTTTTTAGATTCTTCAACTGTAAAAGTATTTTTATACATTTCAAATAAAAGAGTATTTAGTTGCCTTTATTCACTCATTACAAAGATTTTTTTTTTTGTGTCCATTTTTGTTCATTAGCAAGTCCCAAATGCTCACCGTGACTGGGTTTGTGCTCTTGGCCTCGTCCCCGGCTCCCCGGCCCTGCTGAGCGGCTGCCGAGGTGGGGTCCTCAAGCTTTGGCACACAGACACCCTGGGGGCCCTGGGAGAACTCAAGGGGCACGAGAGCCCCATAAACAGCATCACTGCAAACAGCAGTCACCTGTTCACAGCGTCCGAGTAAGGAACTAAAACATAAAATGCATTAAGAAGTATTTTAATTGTGCTGCAGACATGCACATAAATGTGAAAGAACACAAGTAAATGTGTTGAGCAGCTGTTTAAATTTATATGTACTGGTTTTAATATATCAGCTACTGGCATTTTGATGATCTTGGTTGAAATTTTAGTTTATTCAACCGTTCTGTAAGCCTTGCATTCTTACCGTTTTCTCGCTGTTTTGTATTTCAGCGACCGCACTGTGAAGATCTGGCGGGCTCGCGGTGGGCTGGACAGCACCTTAGAAGTCGATAATGCAGATGATGTCGCCAGTAACTGAAGACGGCCGCTTGCTTCGACTGTAGAGGGAACGAACAGCCCTTTGTGTTGCTGCTGCCCTGCACTTTGAACCCAAAACATCACCTTAGATACTCCTCGATTTTTAACCCAGCTCACACTAATCTTATCTCACCTGCAGCAGTTGTTCTCTCTGACTGATGTTTTTCCATGACATGGTGCAGTGCAGCTCATTTTGGGTGTTTCTTTGTAGTTACAACATGAATCAGCTGGAACGTGGTGACAGTGGAACAAGATATTTTATGTGTGCACAGATCAAACAGGTTGTGCATGACTACTGAAAGGGGCATGTTTAGAAACCCAAAGTGTGGCTTACATATCTTTTATTCTGCTGACTGGCCTTGAGCTGTGCAGCATCGAGTCACTATGAGTGAACCTTTCTGAAACAAATGTATTCAGAACTAAACTAAACTTTATTCCACTTTAGGCTTTTCACTCTTTAATCACTTCTTGTTAAAACTGCTAAATCATGATGTGATGAACACACTCCGACTGCAGCTTCACACATGCCACAGTGCTGAACTGCTGAGAGAAGACTGTCTGCAGTGTAATACTCTACCATATAATGGAAACACAAAATCAAACTCTTTTCTAGAAAATCTTATTTTCCCCTCCTTTTGCCTTATCAACCTTGTACTCTAAATAATTCACTTTAGCTCAACATAGACTCATTTCTCTGCTGGGATGTAACATAGATGAACACTCGCCCTGGAAGAAAGCTTGTTGTTGTCTTGAAGTCGAGGGTTAAAGGAGGAAGACGTGGCAGAATAAAAGGGTTGGTAGCTGGTCTTCACAACCCACTTCTCAATCAGCTGATGTTTCCCTGTAGGTCTAAAGCTGAGAGGAACAAATGTGACTTTGTGAAAAATGGGAAAGCACTGGACCCCCTCAACTTTCCTCTCCTGCTGTGTTGCAGCTTCAGACTAGTGATCACGACTGTGCAACCTGTCATTTCGTCTTGTTGCTGTACTGTGCAGCACTTGTGAACTCAACAGTCTTAACAGCAGCAGTCCCACTTGACGCAAAAGTTTGACAAAAATAAACCTATTTGCTTTCTGTGCAGGAGCTGGCAGAGACAGCTATAAAGCCTCAACCTCTTTTAAACCCAATAATTTGAATAAAACATCTCATTTGTTTCATCTGCAGAAAACCGAAGTAAACATTGTGGAGTTGAGGAAGGTTCTGGTTGCTTAGGTAGTCTTCTACATTTTGTCTCACTCTACTCTTACAGTTTCCCATTACATTGAACAACTAAGGTGTTGCATTTTAACAGCAGATTTTTCAGCTGGCATCAGTTGAGTCCTGCTAGCTCAACGTTAGCTGTAGCTTCTCTCGGCCAAAAAAGCGCAAACTTTCTTCTGATTCAACACGTTTCCCAACATGTAGGACTATTCCTTTAGCTTTTGAGCACTTGTAAGAAGTTGACACAGTTAAGCTTTGAAATGTGAACAGTTTTAGTTCTTGTATCACCATGTGACACGTTGTCTGATCGTACACCACTAACCTCTCCCTGCTCCGAAGGCATCTGATCCCCTTCCTTCACCCTAGAACAGGGCTTCTAGTTGTGGACTCCAGGTGAGGTCCACCTGGTATCGCCGCTAACATATGTGTTTAAATTTGTAACTGTATTTTTGTTTTCGTTGGAAGAGGCCTTCAGACTCGCCTAACTGAGACACGTCTCCTGGTTCTGGTCTTTGTGAGGCCCCCCTTTCAAGCTCCTTCCTGATGTAACTGATCAGTCCCGATCGTGAGCTGTCGCTTATGAATGTTTAGTGAAACAGCACCTGTAGGCATCATTTTAATGTATGTGTGTATTTAAAAGAAAAAAGTGACTGAATGTTTGTAATGTGGGACCATTGATCTGAATGCAGTCTCACAACAGCCAAGAGGACCAGAAGTGGCAGAAAGCCTAAGGACTGAGTGTTTCCTGCACTGAGGTGGCCTACAGCTATCTGGTTAGTTTTTATTAGTTCTGCTCTCTTTGTTCCAGATATCCTGGGTGTTTCCCTTTGGAGTTTTAGTAGCCATTTCTAAATGGCAGACTTTAGCTATTCTAATGTCAGATGCCTGGTGAGAATAAATGCTATCTGTCAAAAACAACTGACTCTTTTTTTATCAATTTATTTCATCTTTAATATAGCTGCTGTTAGGTTAGTACAGTATTTGGGTAATTTAATATTCTTTAAAACATTTATGTGCAGCATAGACAAAAATGTTATTCATTAAATACTAATGGTATTTAAATAGCTAAATTTGCTGTGTTCTTTTGTTTTGAAGCCCTAACCATTACCTTCAGAAGCCACACCAGTTTAACACCTTTAAAGGGATCCCTGATTAGTTGTAACATTAGACTTTAAATGATAAACATATTTTAACTGTAAAATAAAGACTGTACAAATACTGTAGGATGTTCAGTTTTTATCATTTTTAAACTAGAAGTTTAAAAATATATTACACGGACGGGGCCATTTTATTTACACACAAAGCATTCTGGGTAAATGATGACATCAACTAGGTCATCGGTGCAAGGCTGCTAGCGAGCTATGTCCACCCTGAAGGTTAATCTTGGACAATATCTGATGATCGACTCTTTTAAATGAAACCAGAGAGCGTTGACAGAGAGGAGAAGGTAGAAATGACTCAGCCTGTAACTGAAAATATAGATGGAGGACAACAGAGCTGCTTCATGGAAGAAGAACCTCAGCTTAGCCTGTTAGCGTTAGTGTTAGCCCCGATGCTATCACCATATATATGTATTAGCTCAGTGCTACACATTCTCCTCTCGTCACTGAGGTCCTCCATCCACATGACAGAGAGGGGAACACAAAAATGACTCAGCTGCAACTGAAAATATGGATGGAGGAACTCAGTTTAGCTTGTTTTTCGCGCTGAGCTAATACATATAAGGCAATATAGCGTGAGGGCTAGCGCGAAGGCTAACAAGCCATGCTGAGGTTCTTCTTCCATGAAGCAGCTCTGTTGTCCTCCATCTATATTTTCAGTTACAGCTGAGTCATTTCTACCTTCTCCTCTCTGTCAACGCTCTCTGGTTTCATTTAAAAGAGTCGATCATCAGATATTGTCCAAGATTAACCTTCAGGGTGGATATAGCTCGCTAGCAGCCTCACACCGAGGACCTAGTTGACGTCATCATTTGCCCAGAATGCTTTGCATGTAAATAAAATGGTTCCGTCCATGTTAAAATATATATTTTTAAAAATTACAAACTAAACAGTCTACAGTATTTTTAGTCTTTATTTTACAGTTAAAATAAATGTTTATCAAATAAAGTTTTATGTTACAACTAATAGTGGATCCCTTTAAAGGGGAAAGGAAGCAAAAAAACCTGAGAAACTCTTAAAGTAAGTCTCTCTGAGTCCTCCAGAGATGTGAAGCTAACGGAGGTTCACCTTCCAGCAGGATAATCCTAAACACATGAACATGAGTGGTTTCAGGAGAACCAGCTCTAAGATAGCCCTCTCAAAGCGTAGAAATTCATCCAAACTATTTATACCAGATTATCCTTTTCATAACCAGTCTAATTCTCCCTCTCCTTTTTATTACCCACGCCACAGATTCCTGAAAGAACAGTTACTTCTGCTTGGTTTTCATATTTGAAGGGGTAAAAACTGAGCACAAGATGGCAGCAGCAGCGCCTGCGTGACCAGAAGCGGGGACAGCACAATGTTAAGAGTCCAGCACATTCAAACTTTTAATTTATTTTATAATCGTGGAAAAGGATGAGACTCACGTGGACCAATCAGGAGGCTGCAGAGCAAAATAAGCAGCTGTACCAACAAGCTGTCACTAATCACTAAGTGGTTTGGGTTTTCACTAAAGTGTTTAGGAACTCACATCCTGTAAAGCCTTTTATATCTTGAACTCGCTGGTTTTACTGACATCAGGCAGTTGGCAATAAACAAGGTACGATGATAAAAAGAACCCTAGATAATAATTTACATCTTAATTTGCTGTGTCAGTGTCTATATTGTTAATTAAAGGAGAAAGAAATAACAAAAAAAACAGCAGAAACAAACAGACATGAAAATTAAATCTGATTTCAAACTCTCAGCATCCACTCAGAGGAGTGAAGCAGTTGAGATGCATCAGGACAGTTGAGCTTTTAATTCATCTGTCACACAGACAGTGCGTAACGTGATTAACATTTACATTTATTGTAGCAGTGGGAATAACAGCTCGGCGTGGGATCTTTGAGAGCTGTTTGGAAGATAAAACAATTGACTCTTTTTAAAGAAACAATCTAAATGATCCTGATTCCAGAAATAAAAAGAGAGCCATAATTCTGGTCACTAGTGTTTAATTTCAGGATGCTGATTATAAAACCTGTGTGCCTAAAGTGAATAATAATTATGGTAAAAGATTGAAGGAATGATGTACGTCTGTTCTGGGATCAGAATGGTTTGGTTCAGCTCACAAAAAGGTGTCTCTTGGCTGTCAAACAGCTCCTCACCAAAGAGACGTCTCTCCTTGGAGCCAAAATGTCCATCGATAAAACTCAGACTCTGCCAGGCAGATAACATGCATGATTCCAGTTTAGAGGGGAAAAAACTGCTGCAGAGATTTTGTTACATTCAGTGATGGGCAGCACTAATCTAAAAATTAGTTGCACTAACCCTAAAGCACTAACTTTAATATTTAGGTCCCCTAATTCTAAAGCACTAACACACTTAAAACTAGCAAAAGCTAATTCTAAAGCACTAAAATCCCAGCTGACCCATGAAACAATCCTCAGAGTCAATGTGAGACAACATTTTCAATGATGACAATATTTCATCTAGTGTAGTGGTTCCAAAAGTTGAGGTCAGGACCTCTTTGTGGGTCACAAAACATCAAGTGAGGAGGGTCCCCAGATGACTTCTGTTTAAATGCAAAAAAAATAAAAAATAAATAAAATAAAAGCTAATGGAATATTTTCATCATGATTATTACAATTTTTTAAATAATCATAAATGAATAAAAATTTGTATCATAGTTACTAGATTAGTTTATAGTTATTATTCCCATGTTTAACAGAGATGTTAGCAAAGTTTGCATAGATAAATAATATATAATATAGGTGTCTGCAACTGTTATTTTGTGAGTCGGAGGCAAAAAAAGTTTGAAAACCACTGATCTGGTGGATAAGTGACCCAACACGTCTGACAGCTTTCACCCTCAGCTGTCGACAATAATGTTGATCAATAATATTTAAAGAACTCAATTAGTGCTTAGAAATTTAGCTCATAAATTAGCAAAAGCCCTAAAGCACTAATCAGAAAATTAGTTCCCCTATTAGTGTTCTAGTGCTTTAGTGGAACTGTGCCCACCACTGGTTACATTTTAAGAAAAAGGGATAAACTCTTTAAAATGACCCTCATTATGACCATGGAATCACCAAAAAAATTCACTCGAGCCAGAAGTTTGTTTATATTTTTAACAGATTCTTCAAAGGTCAGTCATTGTTGAGAAAATACTATTGATTATTATTATTTGTCTTCCAAATCAAGTTCTAATCATGTACAGCATGGTTCCGCTGAGTGGTGAGAACTTTATGCCCATTGGGTGAAATAAAATAAATTTATTTTTTACTTAGACACCCTTTTCTACAAATAGATTTTTACTTAGTAAAAATTAAAATGAATTATTCTGATGTTTTTATTTCAAACAGCAGAGTGTGTGTGTTTAAATACAGACAGTAAAACCCTGTTATTCCACTGATGAGCTTCAGTGTTCTGTCGGAACAAAGCTCAAACAGACCATGTTTTGTTGTCTGACGAGGAAATGGCAGCAAAGAGTTTGTTCAGATGTCTAATGATCGACTCAGGAGGCTGACAGGATCAGGATCAGAACCCTGCAGGACCGAGGAACCGGCACCACCAATCACCGGCCTCCTGGTGGGTTAAACACCTCGGACAAACTCAGATTCTCCTCTTTGCTTCTCCACAAATACAGCTTTTCATCGCTAACAACTTTGTTTATCCAGGCAACACACACGCACACACACACACACACACACACACACACACTGTACGTTAAATGATCCAGGTGGCTGTTTCACAAACAGCTGATGTGCTCTGTGCTCACTCGTCTCTTTCGGCGCTGGAAGTCTATTAATCTTGATGTAAAAAACAGCACAAACAGCTGTTTTACAAGATGCAAGGATGTGCAGATTTTCGTTTAGTCCTGCAGCTCAGCGCGGAGCAGACTCTGACCCTCAGAGAGACGATGACCTGCCTCAGCAGAAAGGCAGAACTGAAGAGCGCTTTAGATTGAACACTGTCATCAGATCATGGAGCTGGACTTGGTCTCAAACAGAACTTTCATTAAAGCTGATAATCATGTTCCTTTTCTAGTCCAGATGATTTGGGATTCCAGATTGAAGCTGGTACCTTTGTGACTAGGGATTACTGTTTTGGTTTAAAATGAAATTCTGCCAGATATAAGTTGATTTAAGGATATGAATAAACATTTATTTTCCAGCAAAACTGGCAAGGCTAATTCACAAAAACCCTCAGAAATGCTTCACACTCTGATTATTAGAAATGTATTTAAAGGGATCCATGATTAGTTGTAACATTAGACTTTATTTGATAAACATATATTTTAACTGTAAAATAAAGATTGTAAAAATACTTTAGGCTGTTTAGTTTTGTACATTTTTAAAAATATATTTTACCACCGATAGAGCCATTTTATTTACATGCAAAGCATTCTGGATAAATGATGATGTCAACTAGGTCATCGTTGTGAGGCTGCTAGCGAGCTATATCCACCCTGAAGGTTAATCTTGGACAATATCTGAYGATCGACTCTTTTAAATGAAACCAGAGAGCGTTGACAGAGAGGAGAAGGTAGAAATGACTCAGCCTGGAACTGAAAATATGGAAACAGAATCTATTGGGCTTAAAAAACAAAGTATATTGTATATATTATAGGCCTGTCAAACAGTTTATTTAAATCAACTAATATCTAATTTCACACACCACAAGGTTTTAGCTAAACTGAAAAAAATCTTCCAGTACAAAGTAATTAAGTTGAACTCTAATAGATTTGTGAGTTGAAATGCAAACAACTTGTCATTTACGC